ATGTTTGAGCTCTAAGATCCGCTTCAGACATACGAGTAGTTTTCACAATTTTCCTATATCTGAGGTTCTAGTAAGTTGTTCTGCAGTGGCGTCCTCGCTGTCCCAGTCTACTTCCAATTTATTTACATTTGCAGCCTCTTTCTGAACTTCTTCTTTCGGAGGAGGCCAAACAACCTTGCCAACCCGAATGGTTCTTGCACGAACTGCATAGCTAGTTTTTCCTTTGGGCCATTCGTTTTTCACTGGAGCAAAGTACGATGGTGGTGGCAGTGGTGGTGGTATTGGAATAGCCGACTTTGTTACAGCACTTTCAGATGAGACTACTGCAGTGTCAGATGGTTTTATATCTGGTGGTGGAGATACAATAGCCTTACCACCAACTGGTTTTTTAGATGCGTTTGATGCATTTCTTGAAATCTTAACAACGGTTACTTTTTTCTCTGAATGTTCAGAAGGTGGTGGCGGGGGTGGTGGCATTGATGCTGTCAACGGTGGTTGTGGCGGCGGCAGCTTTGACGGGGGTGGTAGTGGCGGCGGCGATGTTGATGGTTGTGGCGGCGGTTGTGGCAGCATTTCAGGTACTGAGTTTGAAAGCACAGTAGTCTCTTGACGTGTTACACTTTGTGAAGACTGAAGACTGCTAGGTCCATTCATTACAGTCTTACTTGTAGATGGCTTAACAGGCTGCCCACCATCAAACTTACTAGCCATTTCAGTAACTGCGCTTTTTCTAACCAAAGGACTTGTTCCTGTTGACGCTCTTTTTGGGGCTGCTGTGGCAGAAGTACCTGTCTCTAAGCGTTTCTCAAGATTCTGCAACATTTCTCTCTGCTGTTGCATTTGCAACTGTTGGGCCTGGAAGTAATGGAAAGATATGTTAGTAACAATATGGCAAAAATAGAACAAAGAATGAGAACTTGATTGACCAATCAGAATGCCGATACCATTACTAGTTACTGGCTTTTTGTGGCCTGGTGCACCATGACACTTAAGGCAGTACATTGATTTGCAAAGCATTCTGGGTGTTATGTGAAATATACTTACTAAAATTGTTTGTTGATTTATGTAGGCTTGCTGTGCAAGATATGCCTGTTGTTGCTGCTGCTGCTGCTGTTGTTGCTGTTGCTGGTACTGTTGTTGCTGTTGATAATACTGTTGTGGGTCGTAGGTTGGCATCATAATAGGCTGTTGTAAAACACCTTGGTAAACTGGAGGAAAGAAATCACACACAAACTAATTTTAATGTGCTTTTAATGTAAAGACGAGAGTGGAGACAGTGTTTGGTTGGATTAGTGTTCAATTTGTGTTCGATTCGTGGTCAATTCGCATTCTATTAGAGTTTGTTTCACATTCGATTGACCAAATTGAAATATCTATAATTTACACAAAAGTTTATATATGGCATATTTTGTGTAGGAAAAATGGAGATCAACCTATTTCTTTTGGAAAAAATCATGGTTATAAATAGTCCTACAGTCTCGCTCACATCAGAAGTCACGTGGGCTCACACAAGTATAAAATAGCCCTAGAAACAGACGAGAAATGCATAAAAATTATATAGTCACAAATTATCACCACTCAATTTAAAAACAAATAAAATCTTTGAAACAAAGACGTTGATGATGTTATTATTTATAATCATTGTCCTTTGACCTGCGCATTCGCAGACGCATCAAGGAACTGTATTTATTTATACTAAATTAAGCTATATATCGACATTTAAGTGAATCGAACGCGAATCAAACCGAACGCTGTCTTCACACTCGTAGAGTGTAAAAATTGTGTGATTTGATAATTGAGATAAGCTGCTGCCTAAAGATTGGAATAGCTAACATGCGAAATTTAAGAAAATGCATCGCCCAAGAAATTAGAAGTGACATGAATAAATGACATTGATGTGGTTCGAAATTATAGAAATTTAAATAAAATACATAAAATTTGTGAAATATGAGGGCATTTAAAGTGTTTCACCACTAGAGGGCATAATTTACTGAAGTATTGTATCAACACAGTGACAATATCTACTTTGAGGCACTTACCAAAATACATAATGTTATGCAAATATGGGATAAAACAGGAAAGATTTGAAAGATTAAGTCAGTACATGGTCTCTTTGAATACAACTATGGGGTCTGAACTATTTATTTATTATCAGTGCACATATTAACATTCTTATCATAACAGGTTTTTCTTTAGGTTTATGACACCTAGTTTTTTGTAATTGCCATGTACTTGCTGGCATCAACTTGAAATGAGAAATTTGGGGAGGTTGGAAAACTGAATAGCACACACTACGAAATCACATTTGGAACGTTATGTTATGTCCAAACCACAGATTGACATATACTATCCATACTAAATGTCATAAGCAGTAACGATTAATAAAATAACATTGCCAGTTATAGATTGATTTTAGATTGATGTGTTCTCCATCTATGAGGTGTTCCACTGATTTCAACCAAGAGTGTTCAAGTACACATATCTAGCAGGACATCTAGTTCTAATCCACTATAAACCATGCATGATAAAACAGATATTACACCCTATGATATCTCGCCATTTTACTTGTGATTATATCAATTGTATTGTTATATCATGAGATGTAATGTAATGTGTACATAATCTCACAAATTGTCATGACAGATTATAGATAGTGTCAAGTATCAGTCACAAATACTTATGCAATTGTAATATAAACATAAAATGTTGTGGGATTATAAAGCTATGACATACATATATAATGTGCTAGCAAGGGGAATTTCAGATACATACTGAGTTTATGTGCAATAATACCAAGTTTGGTCAGCATTGAAGAAATAGTACAAATATCCCCCTAGTTCAGTACATTAGAGATAAAGCATGTAGTGCATGAAGGAAAGGAAAGTGATATCTATTTTATCTAATTATTACATTCTATTATGTGATCTACAATGACTGGATGTAATCAAAGAAGGAGTGTAAACAAGCGTGATTTTCCCATATGAATGTATTACTTGCATCAGGAAGTATGTATGCTATATCAAAAATGGGTGTATACCAGTTTTCTGTATCAGAAAGAAGTGCATACCAGCATAGTGTATTATGAAAGAGTGTTCACCAGTATGGTGTATCATGAAAGAGTGCTCACCAGTATGGTGTATTATGAAAGAGTGCTCACCAGTATGGTGTATTATGAAAGAGTGCTCACCAGTATGGTGTAATATGAAAGAGTGCTCACCAGTATGGTGTATTATGAAAGAGTGTTCACCAGCATAGTGTATTATGAAAAAGTGTTCACCAGTATGGTGTATTATGAAAGAGTGTTCACCAGCATGGTGTATTATGAAAGAGTGCTGACCAGTATGGTGTATTATGAAAGAGTGCTCACCAGTATGGTGTATTATGAAAGAGTGCTCACCAGCATGGTGTATTATGAAAGAGTGTTCACCAGTATGGTGTATTATGAAAGAGTGCTCACCAGTATGGTGTATTATGAAAGAGTGTTCACCAGTATGGTGTATTATGGAAGAGTGTTCACCAGCATGGTGTATTATGAAAGAGTGTTCACCAGTATGGTGTATTATGAAAGAGTGCTCACCAGCATGGTGTATTATGAAAGAGTGCTCACCATCATGGTGTATTATGAAAGAAGTGCATACCAGTATAGTGTATTATGAAAGAGTGCTCACCAGTATAGTGTATTATGAAAGAGTGCATACCAGTATAGTG